CAAGCTTGAAAACAACCTAAATATATGTGGATCCTATGTTGATTAAGAAAATAAAGTATATATACACAACAGCATATGATTCAGCCACAAAAAAAATTTAAAGAATACTGCAATTTCAACCTTATGGATGAAATTGTAAGACACTATGCTAACTGAAGTGAACCAGGCACACGCACACACAAATACTGCATGAGAACAGGTACAGTGGCTCAAGTCTGAGATCCCAGCACATTGGGTGGCCAAGTTGAGAGGATTGCCTGAGCTCAGGTGTTCAAGAATAGTCTGGGAACCTTGGTGAGAATTTGTATCAGTGATAAATAAAAAAAAAACAAACTTGGGGTTGCAACGTGCACCTGTAGTTCCAGCTACTTGCAAGGCTGATACAGAAGGATCACCTGAGTCTAGCAATGAGGCTGTGGTGGTCATTAGCATGCCACTGCACTCCAGTCTGGGCAATAGAGTGAGACTCAAACTCAGGGGGAAAAATGCTGAATGATTTCACTCCTGTGGAATTAAAAAAAACTGCACTCAGAGAGGAAAAAAGTACAACATGGTCACCAGGGCCTGAAATGGGAAAATGGAGATGTTTTTTAATGGTCACAAAATTTGTGTTATAACTGAGTTTTAGCGAACTAATGTATAACATAGTGACATAGCTAATAATGATGTCTCATATACTTAGAAGATTTGCTAAAATAGAATGTGTTTTCCTTACAAAACATAGAAATGCCATCTACATAAGATGATTGATATGTTCATAATATAATTGTAATCATCATTTCACAGTGTATAGGCATGTCAAATTATTTCATTATTCACAAAATATGGTTATACATTTTTTACTTATATATAAAAAATCAGATGTTAATCACACATAAACAAACACATGCACATTTGTATATATGCATATATGTAAGCTAGTCCTAAGCTTCATACTAAAGACAAGAAAATTACAAAATAAGAGTAATTAAGACACAAGGTAACATGTGGGAGTTTAACATATGTTTACCAATCCTCTACACCATATAATATACTTAAACATTTGGATATATAAAAAAATTACTTCTCAGATCATACTAGAAAAGTAAAATTAAAATAAAATTACAGGATTTCTTCTATTAAGAGAGGTATTTTTAGTTATGGCAGAACTATGGAGTATGAATGTAAATAAAATCATTGGATATCTCCCAACTATAGAAAGTCATAAAGTACAAAACATGTAGCTTATTTCCAGAGAGTTCTTAAAATTCATCAAACAGATAACAAAATCACTACTCTCACATACATCCAAACATGATGCAAAAAGAAAGCATAAAAAATAGTTTTACATGGATTTCCAAATAAATAAAGCAGATATTTGCACTTCTCCAAAGCATTAGAAAGGTAGTAAGATGATGCAGCCTCTAATAAAACTTTAAATGGACTTTGATTTCCTCTGTAATCTAGAAAGATCATTTAAGAAACAGTTTTTGGGCCAAGTTCAGTGGCTCAGCCTGTAATCCCACACTTTGGGAGGCCAAGTTGAGTGAATTACATGAGCCCTCAGGTTCGAGACCCACCTGGGCAACTTGGTGAGACCTCATCTCTACAACAAATCAAAAAATTAGCTGAGCATGGTAGCATGGGCCTATAGTTCCAGCTACTTGGAAAGCTGAGGTAGAAGGATCACTGGAACACAGCAGGGCAAGGCTGCAGTGGCCAGGAGTGGCCACTGCACTCCAGTCTGGGTGACAGTGAGACTCCAACTCAAAAAAGAGAAAGCTTTTGGAGAATTTCAGAACATGGAATAACAGATGTCCCTTTGTGACAGCAAGAGAAAGAATCCCAGGCTTCTCAGAAACCATTTCCATTGGAGCAAACCCCTTTCCCAAACCACATTTCAAGCTTTGATTCCTAGACCTGTGTCATTTGCTTCATTCACTCCCACCTACCTGAAAGTTTGGCTAGCGTGCTGTGTCTCTTCACATCCAGGGGCTCTTTCCTTTGCTCCAGACATGTTATGAGGTCTGGCTTAGAGACAGCAAGTCCTGTTTAATTAGAAAAAAGTATCATGATTCTTGCTGGGGTTCTTCAATTATAAACCTAGTACTGTGATCAGTAGAGAAAACATTATACAAGATTCTAGAAAAATAATCCCAAAATACTGTTTCCCAATAAAACCTTAGGAACATTTAGATAGGATTTTAAATTTGTGGGTTATTTTTTTAAATTTTGATTTGGAGTCTCACTCTTTCACCATCCCAGCGCTCACCTGTTGGGCTCAGGCAATTTTTCTCCCTTAGCCTAACAAGTGGCCAGAACTACAGGTATGCACTACTACCCCCAGCAAATTGTTTGATTTATTGTAGAGATGGGGTCTTGCCAAGTTGCCCAGGCTGTTCTTGAACCCATGGGCTCTGGCAATCCTCTCAACTCAGCCTCCTAAAGTACTGGAATCACAGGGTTGAGCCACTGTGCCTGGCCTTAAATTTGTGAGTTCTTAGTTCTGTACTAGTGAGTTGATAACTTATGGAAGCAATTGGAATGAGATGTGGGCAATGATATTCATGCAACTAAATTTCTGAACTTAACAATAATATAGCTAGAAGGACACCAGTCAATTCAAAATAGAGAAGGCTTCATGTCAAAATGGAATATCTCTAATTTTTTCATTTCTGTTAACATATCACCAACTTTTCCCTGATAGCAGGAAGCTGAAACTCATTCATGCAAAGCAGAAATTCCCAGAAAACATTCTACAAAGGAAGTACATAAAATCCTTAGTATGAAATAGGAATTGTGTGCAGAGTGTTTCCTCACCCAAAAAACCCAAGTTTCTGTAGTTCTCTAACATCACAGTCCTGTACAATATTCGCTGAGAGTAGTCCAGGCATTCCCACTCTTCTGGAGAGAATTCTATAGCCACATCCTTGAATGTCAACAGCCCCTGAAAACAACAACACATATTTACCAGGTCACCATGGCATCTAGGTAAAGCAAGCGTGAAGAGAACCAGGTCCAGCTGACATGACAACTATTATTATGCAATAAGAAATTTCATAACACAGAAATATCCTCTAATGCATTAAGTGTCAGAAAAAAAATAAATAAAAGCCACTCAGCCAGTGTAGACACCCTATTTTTGTGAGGGATACAGCATAAATTTGGACACCAGCACAGGCATGTATATTTTTCATTGCTGTTTACATCACACAGAATACATTACACATACTGCTCAGATGGAAAACTCCTAGTGAGTTGGAAGGTCCTCAACAAGTTTTAATTTGTACAAGAATGAACTGAATATCTTGTTAAAATGCAAATTCTAATTCAGAATCCACAGATTTAGCCTGAGGTTCTGCAGTTGTTTTTTTTTTCCAGTTGTTGTGTCTCATTCTTATCCATGCTAGGGTGCCATGGCATAATCACAGTTTATTGCAGGCTCGATCTCCTGGGCTAAAAGAATGCCTCCTCCACAGCATCCCAAATAGTTGGGACAAATTGATATCAGATGCCAAGGCACACAGGTGCAACACAACATCCATGCTGAGATCTTTTGTCAAAAGTTATAGTAATTTATTATTTTTTGAGTTGGAGTCTCACTTTTGTCACCCAGGTTGGAGTGCAGTAGTATGCTCACGGACACTGCCACTTCGACCTGTTGGGCTTAGGTGATCCTTCCACCTCAGCCTTCCATGTAGCTAGAACTACAGGGGCACTCAATCATGGCCAGCTACTTTTTGTAATTTATTGTAGAGATGAGGTCTCACCAAGTTACCCAAGTTGTTCTCAAAATGCAGGTTCAGGCAATTCTGTCACCTCAGCCTCCCAAAGTGCTGGGATTACAGGCTAAGCCACCACACCTGGCAAATACAGTAATTTATAATCTCAATGTAATAACAAGTAAGCAGATATAGGGCAAAAATCAGTCTACAGGTATCTCTCATGGCATGTAATCTCTGAAAGTGTATATTATTTGTTTTTAGCATCCTGGAGAGTAAAAATCTTCTAACTATTCTTACTTTTTTTTTTTTTAGATAGAGTCTCACTATGTCACCAAGATTGGAGTGCAGTGGCATGCTCCTGGTCACCACAACCTCAACCTGCTGGGCTCTGGAGATCCTTTCACCTCAGCCTTTCAAGCAGCCAGAACCATAGGCACCCGCTACCACTCCCAGGTAGTTTTTGATTTATTGTAGAGATGATGTCTTGCTAAGTTGCCTAGATGGGTCTCAAACTCATGGACTCAGGCAATCCACTCACCTCAGCCTCCCAAAATGCTGGGATTATGAGCCTCCGAGCCCAGTCTGAATGTACATTTTATTAATTGTTTTCTGCATGGAGCTGATGGAGCATCTAGACAGAACCTTAACAGTACATGTTCTGACTAGGCACAGAGGGTCATGCCTATAATCCCAGCACTTTGAGAGGTGGTTGAGAGAATTTCCCAAACCCTCAGGTACAAGACCAGCCTGGGCAACTTGGCTAGACTGGACTCTACAATAAATCAAAAAATTAACCGGGCTGTGGTGGCTGTGAGTGTGCCAGTGCACTTCATTCTGGGAAACAGGGGGGGATGACAACTCAAAAATAAATAAATAAATACACGTTACTATCTTTCATTAGGGTCTGAGGATCTACCCTATCTCCAATAGGATTCTTGGCTACTATTCCTTCCCATGATCCCCAATCACAAGGAATCATTAATAATGTAGGTCATAAGCCAGGCTCGGTGGCTCAGCCTATAATCCCACGCCTTTGGGAGGCTGAGGTGAATGGATTGCCTGAGCCCATGGGTTCAAGACCCGCTGAGCAGCAAGACCTTATCTCTATAATAAATCAAAAAATCAGCCGGGCATGGCACCGCATTTCTATAATTCCAGCTACTCAGAAGGCTGCAGCGGAAGGATCGCCGGGGCCCAGCAGGTTGAGGCTGCAGTGGCCGGGAGTGACCACTGCACTCCAGTCTGGGCAACCGAGTGAGACTCCAACTCAGAAAAATAAATAAATAAATAAATAAATAAATAAATAAAATAATGTAGGTCATACATTTGCAGTGAGAACAGTTCATGGCAACAAAGTAGAATGGATGAAGAGAACAGAAGAGGCTATGTAGGGAGCGGTGTCCGACAGACCCATTGAATATCCCAGGAAGAACAAACGTAGTTGAAACAAACTCTTTAGGCAGGACCATCAAAGGGACAGTAGGATGGTTTTCAAGTTTTACACACATGACATTTCTTCTGACTTGGGACACATTTACCTGAGAAGCAGCCATTTTTTTTCCTTTAACTCCTACTTCTCTGGGATTTCTTCTCAGGTGAGGTGATCTAATCAAGCCACAGCTACATGTTGAAAATATGTCTTTATTTATTTCAAAATTGAATGGAATGGACTTATTTTTTGTCAGAGTCTTACCACCCTCTTGGGAGTCCCTCCCTTGCTCTCCTGTTTTTCTGAGGTTCTCTTTGATTTGTGGATTCTTCCACCATCTCTCTGAGGTGGGTCTACCTTGTCCTTTGGGATAGTTTTTCTTCTTTACAAATGCAAGATAATCGAGAGGACAAACATCATTTCTGCCTTTTTCCCTCAAGAACAGTGATGTGTCTAAAGAGCACAGAAACCATCTGCTGAACTAAAAGATTTTTTGATAGTTACTAATTTAATAATATAAAGCTTAGACCTAATCAACCCCAAATGGGGCAGTCCACTCTCAAAAGTTTGACGTGATTCCATCTTAGACTGAGGTGGGGGAGCGGTATCTCTGGTCTCTTTGTGTGTTTGCATGTAGCTAAAATTTTGAAATGCCGACAAGATAAGGTTGGCACCAGTATACAGCTGTCCAGATTAACTCTGGGAGAGTGGGAGTATTTGCTGTAACTGTTATGTTTAATAAAGGAACAAGAAGGCTGAGAACCAGGGACAAAGATAATTCACCACTTTCCAGTACTCCTCTCATCGCCCAGATGCCTGCAAGTCTAAGCCACCTCTTGATCTTAGCCTCTCTCTTCCACAGCCTGGATAACAATTTTTCAAAAGCACACACAACCCAGGAGCGGTCTTTAGGATGCCATCCCCTCATTTTCTTGACTTTAATGTCCCTGCTAAAGTCACAACCTCCAACTTCTTATGTCACCAGAACCGGGTTTGTACCTGCTGACACAAATGGTCAATGACACTGATGACAAACCCTGGAGATTTCCACCTGGATAATTCAGATAAGGCCACTGCAGGTCTGACACGCAACAGCACCTGCCCATATCCGGTTTCCCTTTGCCCCTTCTCAAAGCCTTTCCTCCCAGCCCCTCTGGGATGCCCACACCGCGAGTCCTGGTTGGGGTTTCGGGACTCAAGAACCACTGTTGGCCCAAGAGGCCTTCTTAACGCTGTGATATAGCCACGGTTTAACTCTGGGGAGGAGACAGGGACAGGGTCAGGGACATAGCCTCCCCCTCCAAGCCCCCCACGCAGATCGGATCCTCCCCATGACCCTCGCGAGTCCCTGACACTTGGAGGTGGGCAGCTGCCTTAAGAGTGCTCAGCAGGCAACATCTCTGTGGGGTCAAGACTCTGGGGTCGAAGCACAGGCCCACCTACACCGAGGGGTGTGGGCGGAGCCAAGGGAGGGGACGGGTCCAGGCTCGAAGCTGAAAGGGAGGCCGGTTCCTACAGAGCCGGGTGATCCGGGCCCATCCCCATACCCCTCTCGGGAAACCTGCCACCTTCCAAGGGTCTCAGTGTCTGCCCTATATTTCTCTCAGGACCTGCATGTCACCGGCCAACACAGGCTGAAGAGAAGCCTAGAAGCTGCCCCTTCCCTTCCAGCTCTTGTCTGATTGGCCATCTCAAACCCCAGCGTCCGCTGCTTGGGCAAAACTCCAGGCCATCTGGTCTTGAGTCACAGGACACGCGATCAGGCGCGGGCTGCATGAGGCAAGAAGATGTTGAGATTTCCCCCAGTGCCGGAACCTGGTGGGGAGGTGTGGGGATGTGGGCCCCTTGCAGGGCTTGCTGGGAACACTGGTGTCTGCATGGCTCCCGTCGGTGAGTCGTGGAGCTGCAGGACAATTCCAGCGTGTCCCGGGAGAGGCAATGAGACCTACAGTCCAGCGACCCACCAACCAGGAGAGATGACAACTCCCATCATGTCCTGAGGGGGCCCTCAAGCCCCCTCCCCCCACCGTTCTGCCCAGTCTCCGGGGCAAGGAGAAAGCTAAAGGCATTTTGGCCTATGGAGTCCCTCTCGTTTTGCATCTCCTGCCAGTCAAGACCAGAAAGCCAGGGCCTGAAGGCTTTTCCAATCAACGGATGTTGAGGTCTGAACTGGTCAATCAGGGGGGAGCTGAAAGTGAGGGGGCGGCTTTTGGGCTCTGGTCGGACCTTTGTCTCCTGTGCCTGCGAGCAGAGTTGGGTCATTCTCGCCTCACTGTCCTCCACTCCGGTACCTCCTCGTGTAAGAATAGAACAACCCATAATAATAATCACTAAGAATCTTTCAGGCTGGCACCGTGGCTCACACCCATGATCCCAGCACTTTGGGAGGTAGAGATGACAGGATTTCCTGAGCAAACAGTTTCCAAACCATCCGCAGCAACTTGGTAAACCCTTGCTTCTATAATAAATTAAAAAATTAGCTGGGCCTGGTGGCACACACCTGTGGTTCCAGCTACTTGGAATGCTGAAGTGGAAGGATTGCCAGCAGGTCAAGGTGGCAGTTGCCACAAGTGTGCCATTGAGCTACAGCCAGGGGAAAGAGTGTGACTCCTACTAGAAAAAATAAAAGCTGGGCTTGGTAACTCAAGCTGTAATCCCAGCACTTTGGGAGGCCAAGATTAGAAGATTGCCTGAACCTGCGGGTTTAAGACCAGCCTGAGCAACTCAGCGAGACCTCATCTCTACAAGAAATCAAAAATTAGCTGGGTGTGGTAGCACATGTCTATAGTTCACATAACACAGGAGGTGGCCACAAAAGTATTGATTAATACACTATGTGACAGAGTGAGATTCCAACTAAAAAACATGTATATACTGAAGTGTTTTATCACATAAACAAAGATCTGAGTACTACATGTATTCACTCATAAGTGGACCCTGAACAATCATCGGAGTACTATAAGTGATTAGCAATAGTGGAACACTGCCATGGTGAGGGTTATAACACAAATAAGAGTACCCAAACTTTACATGTACAATGACCACTTATGACCTAACCCTGAATTGTACCCAACATTTGAAAATAAAAATAATAGTAAAAAGAAAGAAAAAGCCACAGAAACACGGTGTCCTTGGATGAGGAAAATGTCAACACACAATTTCTATTTCATACTAAGGATTTCAAGTCATTTCTTTGTAGAAAAATCACATTTGAATAGAAATGTAAAAATCAGTAGAAACATTGTGTCACTATGTTGCAACATTACATCATCAAGATCCCTTTATGTCAGGGATGTTTAGGAGATTCAGCATTTGGGAATCCATCAATACAATTAGCCCCATTAATAAAATCGAAGACAAAGTCATATAATCTGGTTAATAGATTAAAAGGATATTTTGAAATTTATAAAAAAATTTACATTTAAAGATCAAATTACAAAAAAGGGTAAAATATTTCTGAAACACATGAAAAACGGTAGAAATGAAAAATAATGAAAATACTTGTTTGGGAAGAAAGATTAAATGGTATCATTAAGTCAATAATCTTCTAACCAGTTTATCAATTGAGGTTGATACTGATGTACATACTAGCTGTTTGTGTTCTGAAGAAAAAAAAATTTTGTAAACAATATTTAAATTGGAAATCCATAAAAAGTTTGAAAGACTTCATCATACATAATAAGTAAAGCAGTGTGATAGTGACTTTAGAAACAGACTGAGGGTGGAATACTGCTGGGGAATTGTGGGCATATCTCATCAAGAAGCATACCTGCATAATGGACATTTGTAAACATAGCTCTGATTTGTACCCTACATCTTAAAGATAAATACTAAAAAATCAAGGGAATACACAGGTTTAAAGTAGAATAAGACATATATGGTGGTCGGGCATGGTGGCTCATGCCTATAATCCCAAATCTTTGGGAGATAGAGGTGAGAGGATTGCCTGAGTCCATAAGTTCAAGAACAGCTTGGACAACTTGACAAAACCTCTTCTCTACAATAAATCAAAAAGTTAGCTGAACATGATTGTGTGTTCTTGTAGTTCCAGCTTACTTGAAAGGTTGAGGTGGAAGGATCACCTGAGTCCAGCAGGTCGAGGCTACAGGGGCTGGAGCACACCACTGGACTCTAGCCTGGGTGACAGAGTGAGACTCAAAAAAAAAAAAATTACCATCAATTATCAATCAAGATTTGCATGCTCTAATATCATGACATTCCAGTAGAAAAAGAGACACAGCCCCTGACCTGGAAAACATTTACCTGAGAACCAGCCATTTTTGCCTCATCCTCCTCTGGCATTTCTTTTAGGTGAGATTATCTGGACAAGTCATATCTACGTGTTGAAGATATGCCTTTATTATTTAAATTTTAAATTAAATGTATTTTATGAGTCTGAATATCACTCCATAACCCAAGCAGGCGTGAACTGTCTCCACACAGCTTATCACAATCTTGATCTCCTGCTCTAAACAGATTGTTCCACCTCAAGCTCCCAAGAATCTGAAACTACAGGCATGTGTGAACACTCTTGGCTAAATTGTTTCAGCTTTTATAGCTACATGGATATGCTATGTTGTCCGGGTTAGCCTCAAATTTCTGGGCTCAAGCAATCCTCTCCTCTCTCTCCCCCCCCAACACTGACCTGAATAAAAACCAAAAAAAGTACACACAACCCAAGAGGGGTCTTTAGGACGCAGGCCTCTCATCTTCTCAGCTTTAAAGGTCCTCTAAATCAAGTCAAAGCCCATGCTCCGACTCCTTGTCTTGACTTTGACTGTCCCATCACCAGGCAGAACCAGGTTTGGACCTGGTTTGGACCTGCCAATGACCCTGACGACTTGCCCTAGGGATTTCCACCTGGATATTCCAAATAAGGTGACTTCAGGGCTGTCACCCACCAACACCTGCCCGTGGTCGACTTCCCCCTGCCCCTTCTCCTACCAGAGATTCCAGACCACGAGCGGGACTGGGGCTTAGGGATTTACGATCCGCTATTGGCCCAAGGGAACACCTTAAGACTGTGTCGGAGCATCTGTTTACTTTCTAGGAGGAGGGAGAGACAGGGCCAGGACCACAGCCCCTTCCCCCAGGGGCCCACCACGCGGGTCAGACACACTCCCC